CCAATGAGAGCAGGTACTGGGAGTTGAAGTCCAAACCCTCTGGAGACCTCCCCTCCCAAGGTTGAGAAGCGCCACAAAGGAAGCGCAAGCTCCCCTCCTCACCTTGCTACGCCCCACCTGCGCCACCCGCTGCTGGGAGCCGGGGGCCGGAAAAGCCTGAGATGGTGCGTTCAGCATCCTGCCCTGCTCAGGCTCCAAGCTGAATGGAGGCAACAGCGACGCCACTTCCGGGTTCAGCTCGGCTTGGAAGCCCAGCGGCCATTCTGGGAGGAGACGGGAGGCACGTAGTGCGCAGGCGCCACAGCAAGGCCGGGGCCGGATTGTTTTCTCTGGACCAGGTGAGACTGGGGACCTGCGTTGCGCAGGCGCACATCCACGCTGGCTTAGGCACCACCCACCGGAGTTGATTGACAGCCACTCCAATAAACACAGTCGTTGAGAGACGGTAAAAGAGGTGCGGGCGGGCAGTTTGCTCATGTGCGAAACGTACTGCAGGAATAATCCAGTTTGAGACTGCTTTAACTGCCCGACTCAGTGCTAGGGAATCCTGGGAACTGTAGTTTATTGTGGCACCAGAGCTCTATGACAGAGGCGGCTAAATATCTCACAAAACTACAGTTCCCAGGATCTCTAGCATTGAGCCAGAGTAGTTAAAAGCAGTCTCAAACTGGGTTATTTCTGCAGTGTGTTTTGGACCTAAGACTGCATCCGCACTGTAGAAATAATCCGCTTTGACCCCAGTTTAACTCCCATGGCTCAGTGCTATGGGATTCTGGGAGCTGTAGTTTGTTGCGGCACCAGAGCTCATCCTCAAAGAGGGAAATGAAATCTCAGTCCCACAGAGGAGCTGATTTAGATAGTTTCCCTCCTGTTGATTTCAATGGGAGGTTTCTTTGTTTGTTTTAAAGGTAATGCAGGGAGGACTGGAGAGCCATCAAGGAGTAATGGTTTGAGGCAGGGGTAGGCAACCTTTCCCCTTTATGGGCCAAGGGACTTCAGCTCCCAGAAGCCTCAACCATGTTGGCCAATAGTCCCATGTTGGCCAATAGTTCCTGGGATTCTGGGAGCTGAAGTCTCTTGGCCCTTAAAGGGGAAAGGTTGCCTACCCCTGCCAGGACTGGGACTAAGACTTTGGAGACTAGGGTTTGAATCTCTGCTCAACCATGGAAACCCACTGAGTTACCTTGGACTAAATCCAGTTTATTTTACATTAGCCAACCGGGCTTCTGCATACAACCATAAAACAACCCAAATCCATATTAAAACTTACAAAATGGGACAGTTAAATTGGTAATAAAACATAAAGAATAAGACAGAGGTCCAAAGCACACTGCAGAAACAACCCAGTCTGAGACTGCTTTAACTGCTCTGGCTCAAAGCTAGGGAATCATGGGAATTGTATTTTTTTTCTGAGACATTGAGCCTTCTCTGTCAGAGAACTCTGGTGCCACAATAAACTACAGTTCCCATGATTCCCTAGCACTCAGCCAGGGCAGTTAAAGCAGCCTCAAACTGGGTTATTTCTGCAGTGTGTTTTGGACCCCTGCCTTCTGACTAGGCATACTATTGCAGTTTCACTATTAGTTCTATACCTATCAATTCAGAGCTAAGGGAAGTGAATATAAGATTATAAGACTACTGTTCACTGGGGAAAGGGGTACTTTAATAAGTCTGAATTGCCCTTCCACTTTAAAGGCAGCTTCTAAAATGTGATCATATTTTTCTACTTTATGAGAAATGTCAAAAATATGAACATTTCTCCCTCATCCTGATAGATGTAAACTCTCACATCTTATCATTTCAAACCTTTTTTTTTTAAATGCCAAAATTCAAAATCAGAATTCAAAGATATAGCCATGTTAGTAGAATCGGTATATAGAGAGATCTTGTAGCAATGAGGGCCCTTACAGACTGCCAGAAATAATGCAGCTTGAGGCCACTTTAACTGCTCTGGCTTAGTGCTAGGGAATCATGGGAATTGTATTTTTTTTCTGGGACATTGAGCCTTCTCTGTCAGAGAGCTCTGGTGCCACAATAAACTACAGTTCCCATAATTCCCTAGCACTGAGCCAGAACAGTTAAAGTGGACTCAAATTGGATTATTTCTGACAGTCTGTAAAGGCCCTAAGTGAAAGAAAGAAATTGGCAGAAAGCTCATGCTGCCAATTTCTTTCTTTCAGTTACTCAAAGGTGCTACAAGATCTTTCTACCTGAGAGTCAGTTCTTCTGAAAGCACTGGGGTTTGTTCTGCATAAACAAGCTAAGAATCAGGATATCAGATATTAGAAAGTAAAACAGCTCAGATTTACTTTGATGGAAGAAAAACAAACCATAACCTCACCACTCCACCTTTCTTGTCCTCACCCCCAATTCATATCCCCACCTCCGAAGCGATTTTTGTTTCACTGAATTACTAGCATAACAAAATTATTGGTTTCAGTATCACATGGGAGTAGGCAAGATGCATAAAAGAATACCCAAATACTGGTATTATGAAAATAATAAAAAAAATCATTTGAATTTTAATTGAAAATAACTTACATATAAATTAGCTTAAAGTATTATAGCAAGCTGAGACTGATATTAAATTAATGAATATAAGCAGTAATATTAGTCCTTGTATAATCAATAATCCACTTCTGCTCCAGAATCATGCTCCAGTTCATTGTTTTCCTCCTCGCTCTCCGACTCTTCATAAAAGGAAATTGTGGCTTGGACGGGAAAATTCCTCAGAAGAGCTTCCGCTTCAGGATAGAGGTAGTCAAAGCACCTTGATTTGGGCCACAATAATCTAAAACAAACAAAATTGCAACTTAAAAAAATTACACTAAAAAGAAATTCAGAATCCTTTGTTCTAGGATTCAAGTTAGTGTGGGAAAGTGCAGAAGCTTTTGTCCTTCCAGGTATTTTGCACCCACAGTACTTTGCTATTGGGCTTACTTGGGTGAGTCTGAAATCCATTTAATGCATTTAAAAAAGTGTGAAAACCAATTCTATATACATATCCTGCTCTAGGAATTGAAATAAATTTGTTGTAAAATATGCAGAAGTTTGACTTGTGAAATGCTGACGCTACACTCTCACATCCAAGCCATAACACATATATCAGTATTAGTATCCAAGCAATAGGATCAGAACTGGGGACTCAAAATGTTGCCTCAAAAT